GATCCATCAGCACAGTCCCACATCCTTTGCCTGGTTTTGTTATGATGATTGGATGTTACTCCGCAACTCCACCTGACTTCAGTCATGTGGTTAGATGACTGCCATCATGATCACAAGTTACATTTTCTGATCAATTGTTTCTTTGTTCTACTGATGATTGCGATAGACCTTACTCTAATGTATATTATTGTATGAGGCTGAAGAAGAAGTAATCGAAAACAATTGTTCGCTTAAAGCTTCGTGTTTTTTATCTTTCAGAACTTGAGGTAACAAATGGGCATCCTGGTCGAGTTGCAACACAGCAAATGCGCCCAGAAGCGCAATGAGCTTATTCGGTATATTAAGTACTGCGTGATATTTGCCGTAACCGAAGTATGCATTGGATTCCACAGGTTTTTGCATCGAAACGCGAGATTACCCAAAATCATTCTGGAAAGCCCTGCGGAGCCATCACATCCGACCTATTGCTGCTACTTTGAACCGACACGCACTCAACCTTCTTGAATCGGGTAGAGCGAGCGTTGAGGAAACTAAACGGCTTATTGCCCAAACAGAAGCCGCGCTGGACACCCTCCGCGATGAAGAACATATCCGTTTTCTTAGTTATGTGCCAGGCGTGACATCTAAACAGGTAGACAAGAAAGGATGCAAAATGCAGAAAAAGTTAAGCGAAACAAAGTGTCAAACCAAGTTTCCATCAGTTCCAGAACAATATGTGCACAATCTTTCCAGTGTTCATTTAGACAGACTGCAGCTGCAAGCACTTTCACTTGGTCTAAAATTTAGCCATCCGAAGAAGAAATACGATGGTGTTGAAATAGAAACACAGTTTGAACACCTAATCAAGCCGACGAATGACTTGGTGGCCAACTCTGATATGGAACTTGAACAGTTCAAATCAACTTTGGTCAACGTTTCTTTTCAATACCAAAGACAACCAATAGACCACCATGGATTACTGACAAAAGCACACATTGATGTCGTGACAGAACTTCAGAAAAAGGAGGATCTCCTCATAACCAAACCAGAAAATGATCTGGGACCGTGCTGACCTATATATATATATATATATATATATATATATATATATATATATATATATATATATAGGTCAGCACGGTCCCAGATCATTTTCTGGTTTGGTTATGAGGAGATCCTCCTTTTTCTGAAGTTCTGTCACGACATCAATGTGTGCTTTTGTCAGTAATCCATGGTGGTCTATTGGTTGTCTTTGGTATTGAAAAGAATCGTTGACCGAAGTTGAGTTGAACTGTTCAAGTTCCATATCAGAGTTGGCCACCAAGTCATTCGTCGACTTGATTAGGTGTTCAAACTGTGTTTCTATTTCAACACCATCGTATTTCTTCTTCGGATGGCTAAATTTTAGACCAAGTGAAAGTGCTTGCAGCTGCAGTCTGTCTAAATGAACACTGGAAAGATTGTGCACATATTGTTCTGGAACTGATGGAAACTTGGTTTGACACTTCGTTTCGCTTAACTTTTTCTGCATTTTGCATCCTTTCTTGTCTACCTGTTTAGATGTCACGCCTGGCACATAACTAAGAAAACGGATATGTTCTTCATCGCGGAGGGTGTCCAGCGCGGCTTCTGTTTGGGCAATAAGCCGTTTAGTTTCCTCAACGCTCGCTCTACCCGATTCAAGAAGGTTGAGTGCGTGTCGGTTCAAAGTAGCAGCAATAGGTCGGATGTGATGGCTCCGCAGGGCTTTCCAGAATGATTTTGGGTAATCTCGCGTTTCGATGCAAAAACCTGTGGAATTCAATGCATACTTCGGTTACGGCAAATATCACGCAGTACTTAATATACCGAATAAGCTCATTGCGCTTCTGGGCGCATTTGCTGTGTTGCAACTCGACCAGGATGCCCATTTGTTACCTCAAGTTCTGAAAGATAAAAAACACGAAGCTTTAAGCGAACAATTGTTTTCGATTACTTCTTCTTCAGCCTCATACAATAATATACATTAGAGTAAGGTCTATCGCAATCATCAGTAGAACAAAGAAACAATTGATCAGAAAATGTAACTTGTGATCATGATGGCAGTCATCTAACCACATGACTGAAGTCAGGTGGAGTTGCGGAGTAACATCAAATCATCATAACAAAACCAGGCAAAGGATGTGGGACTGCGCTGATGGATCGTGCTGATTACATAAAGAAAGTGAAAATGGTACTCTCGTATACTTCACGTTTCGTGAAATGTGAACAACAGAACGATAAAACAGAATGTGTAAAAAATCAGTTGGTCACGGTTTTAAAATCACTAGTGACGACGGCGCCATCACCAAAGTGACGTATGACCGACTACATCCCATAGGCTCCACTACTCCTCGCCTTTATGGCCTCCCAAAAATACATAAACCAGACACACCATTGAGACGCATACTAGATATGAGGAATTCACCGTACCACAACCTTACGCAATGGCTGACAAAAATGCTGAATCGCATCAGGCAAATGATTGCTCCTCATAGACTGGCAGATACATTCCAGTTCGTTAACGAAATTCGACATATGAATGTCCAACGGTATCGGATGTTTTCCTTAGACGTTGTTTCATTGTTTACCAACGTGCGTCTGATAGAAACAGTTAACTACCTGTGCTCGTACACTGACCAGCATGGTATTAACATCGGTATATGAAGCAACCAACTGAAACAACTGGTACTCAGATGTATGTACAACGTACAATTTCAAGTAAATAACGAGTTTTATAGACAGGTTGATGACGTTGCAATGGGATCTTCGATTGGTCAATTGTTAGAGGATATTTATATGGGAGCGTTAGAAAGCGGTCCATTAAAACAGGTCATATCGAGTCTGAAATTCTATCGGCGCTATGTGGATGATATATTTGGTATAAGTGATCGAACCACCAAACCCCAGGATATAATCGACCGTTTCAACAATGCACAACCCAATGCCGCATTTACAGCTGAAGAAGAAGACAATAACCAAATGAATTTTTTAGACGCAAGTCTTATCAAAAGAACCGATGGATCAATCTAAATAAAAGTATACAGGAAACCGTATTGAACGAAACAATACATGAATTTCAGAGTTTCACCCCACTCAGCCAAAAAAGAACGCTGGTGCGAACGCTAACCGATCGGGCATACCAAATCTGCAGCGAAGACACCATAAAAGCCGAACTCGTACGAACAAAGAAACGCTCCTCGAAAATGGATATCCGGAGCGATTTATCAAGACCCATATGAGGTGATGCATACCAAAATTATTAAAACAATCCGTTGAAAACAAACCACTATGCCTGACACTTCCATTCAAAGGAAATAGTGCGGCTGAGACATGCACGCGTCGACTACAGCAAAGCTGCACAACGACCTTTAATGCGGCTCAGCTGAATGTGATTTTCACGAGCAGACCTTTACTAGTTCCGAGATTCAAAGACCGAGTGCCTGTCATCTCCAATAAATGTTAATCTACTGGTTCACCTGGGTCAGGTACGTTGGACGGACGACCAGACATTTAGGTAAGAATTAAGGAGCACCTCCCAGATTGGCTCTACAATCGCGAGAAAAGACAAACTGCAGCGCGATTGCAAACCATGTAATCAACACAGGCCACCAGATAAACAAACGAACATCCTTTCATATTCTCTACAAAATACCACCAAGACAAAACCATCGTGTAAGGGTAAGCCTACTTGCCACCGCTGAGGCAGTATGCATACGCCTAACAAAGCCGGACCTGTGTTTTCAGAAGAAGCTGATACAAACACTCCAACTTCCCTGGCCGACCACCAGCCGGGAAGGAAGTGATGTAACTCCGCAACTCCACCTGACTTCAGTCATGTCATCAGATGACTGGCATCATGATCACGAGTGAAATTTTCTGATCAATTGTTTCTTTGTTCTACAGATGATTGCGACGTACCTTACCCTAATGTATATTATTTTATAACCGTATAGGAGAGTTAATCGAAGGCGATTCGAAATTCGTCCCTCTTTTTGCAGTTGGCGACAACTCATTATTGTAGTTGCTGTGCAAATCCATCCTTTGATGTTGATAGTTGAATCACTGGAGACTGTCAACTACCTATATTTTTTGTGGCTTTTTCCCCAAATTGCTTACGGATACTCAGTGCTGGGTAGAATTTTCCTGTGGCAGTCTTTGCTTGCAACATCGCCAGCGGTGTGTTAATTTCCCAACCCTCTTCTGTATTGGGATATGAATTTTGAGTGCTTTCGTGTGCCGAGCAGGAATACTCCGCGCCGGAGATGTACTGCCTTGTGATCGTCTATGAATTGGGTAAATGGAGAACCTACCTATTATCGAATGAATTCCACTTTTAGACTGAATACAAACCGCTGTCATGGTTTATGACAACGAAAGATCCGCGAGGACTATTTGCGCGGTGGGCATATCGACTTCAATAATTTATGTTCACCATCGGGCACGTTGACGGGACGCAGAACGTGCTACCTGATATGCTGTCTTGTCCGTCGTCGGACGACGTCATACCAGACACGGCGGTAT